TTATAGTTGTCATTGTATGGGGGCCCTGGGCTGGATTTGAACCCGCCAGCTCCAGTCTATGTGTCTGTTGCCCTCACTGCTTGAGCTACAGGGGCTGAGTTTGAACCTGCCTCCCTCGGTATATAGGGCCAGCGCTGTTCTCCTTGAGCCATAGGCACTGCCCTATGTTCGGCTATTTTTACAGATGGGGTCTTGCTCTAGCTCAGGCTGTTCTCCAACTCTCTGAACTCAGGCATTCCACCAGCCTCTGCGTCCCAGAGTGCTGGAATTACAGACCTGAGTCACCTCACCCAGCCTGCTTTCTAGATTTAAAATTTTTCTGGGCAGTGTCTATGGCTCAGTGAGTAGGGCACCGGCCCCATATACTGAGGGAGGCTGGTTCAAACCCAGCCCAGGCCAAACTGCAACAAAAAATAGCCAGACATTGTGGTGGGCGCCTGTAGTCCCAGCTACTCTGAAGGCTGAGGCAAGAGAATCACCTAAGCACAAGTGCTGGAGGTTGCTATGAGCTGTGATGTCACAGCACCCTACCAAGGGTAATAAAGTGAAACTCTGTCTCTTTAAAAAAAAAAATAGCCTTTTCCAGATGAATTGTTAAATAATCATCCCTTGATTTCCTCTACTATTGTTGTAGAGGAATTTTTTTTTAATGGGTATTTGATCATTTTATTCAGAGAATATAAGCAAGAACTTACATCCTTTTCTGGTGAAACTGTTCTCTTCAAATAATGTTATGGGGAGGGCCTTGAGATGTAGTTATGAAACAGGTTATAAGAAAACATTTTAAAATTTACAAATACAAATCAGTCCTTTATACAGGATTCTCTACAAAGTTCACTGATGAATGTGAAAAATAATCTGTTTCAACCTAATATAAGGCATACTCAGTTTATGTCATTTTGTAGAATTGTTTTTGCTTTGTGGGAGACTTTGCTCTTCGTAGATCCTGATTTTTCCTTGATTCTCTGTAATGTTCAGCATATCTGCTAGATTTTTCCCAATGCCTCGCTGCACCATTCTGATATCTATTTTCTTT